GTGTTTGTGTCAGCAAGTGCTGATATCTCTTTTATTTCATTTTTATGGCTCTGGGTAGGAATCTTGACTTAATAGGACATCTGAAGGAGCTCAGAATACCTCTCAACACTTTGAGATCATAGAGGTGAAATCACTCAAAAAAACAAACAAACCAAAAACCTCTTGAGAGCTTGAGTGTTTTTTCCGCTTTTGTCTGATTGCTTTGGAAATCATTTTAGATTTAGATAGTTCTTTACTACTTTTGTAGCTGACAACTCCACCACCAGCAGCAATGGCAACCAGTATATTGTAAATGAAGTAGTCCTTCAAGAAAATAAAACAAAACAATCACAATCCTCTAATCACACAAGCAATTTCCTTGATTCAGAATCTTGTGTGGACAAGAGTTTTCCCAAGGGATAATGAAAGTGTAGGCATGAACTTCATGTGTGCATGGATGGATCATTTCACTTCATTTCAGGCACAGAGGTGCCTTCTACTGTTCTTATTTTTCTGTCACTATAAGCAGGAAGTGTGAAGTAATGTGATGAGCTTTAAATGTAGAGGCACAGTACACATGTTTTGTAGTGCTTCACGGCACACGTTTTCCATGCTTCATTCTACAAGAGAGATGGGGAAATCAGTGTTTGGAAAATAAGTGCTTCTCATTAGTAATCTCAAAGGTGCTTTTCCAAAAGGCAACTGGACTTTCTTGTTTTTCCTTGAAGATGTTTTGCTTCTCATCCAAGAAGCAGTTCTGAATACTGGATGAGAAGCAATATTTGAGGGGCTGTCACAAAGAAGAGGGTGGGGGTGGGGGTTCAACTTATTTTCCAAAGCGCAAGAAAGCAAGACAAGAAACAATGAATGGAAACTAATTAAGAAGAAAAGCAATCTGGAATTAAGGAGAAATTTCCTAACAGTGAGAACAATTAACTAGTGGAAGAGTTTGCCTTCAGAAGTTGTGAGTGCTTCATCACTGGATGCTTTTAAGAAGAGACTGGACAGCCACTTGTCTCAAATTGTATAGGGACCCCTGCTTGAGCAGGAAGTTGGACTAGAAGACATCCAAGATTTCTTCCAGAAGTATTCTGTATTCTGATTGATCTTCAAGGAAAAACAGGGAGGACCTCCTTGGGGTGCCGTCCACCCCAAAAACAGGAGGCCCTACACAGGGAGGGCCTCCTTGGGGTGCCATCGGCCAGACAATGTCGGCTGACGACCCCTAGGGAGCAGGCTTTCTCTGTGGGTGCACCTACCCTGTGGAATCAGCTCCCCCTGGAGCTCCGGGTGGCCCCTAACCTTCACTCTTTCCGCCGTGACCTTAAAACATGGTTATTTCGCCCGGCTGGTTTGGACTGAAGGGGTTTTAAAGGGGATTTTAATGGTCTTTTATAATCTTATTGGGTATTTTTAACATTGATTTTGCTTGTTTTTATTGTTGTGAGCCGCCCTGAGTCCTTTTGGAGATAGGGCAGCAGTTCAAATAATAAATAAATAAAAACCAAAGAAAGTCTAGTTGCCTTTTGAAAAATCACCTTTGGGACAAATCATAACCTGGATGACTGAGAATCTCCACAGACATTCCCATTGGTAATGAGACAACAGCATCTCTACTGAAAAAGACATATGATGGTATTTTTATATAGAAAACAAGGGAGGCTGCAGAACATTTTCCCCAGGATTGTAAAGATAAAAGGGACCTTTATTTTTACTCACTCTCTCCCTCCCTCCCTCCCTCCCTCCCCCCTCTCTCTCTAGCCATCTCCTAACTAAATATATACAACATCACATTTTCTGCAATCGAGTTTGGAGCGGTTTACCTTGAGTTTGTATCTCAAGGTAAACCATGCTCGTGTATTGTTGTGGTTGAAGCTGAAGTAGGCAAAGAAAACCTTCTGGGAGACACCAGAGCTTCTGAAATAATGCATGAAGATAACGTGGGAACTCAGATTTTGCCAACATAAGACTCACAAATCAAACAAGAGCAAATTTTCTTGTCATGCTTCCAGTATTTCCGCTTCTAGGCTCAGTCAATGTTAAACTTTCTTTGCACGCTTTGAACAGTCCTGGCTTGGATCCCAACAGGTAAGGCCTACAAGCTCAAAGGTGCATGAAAGGCGAAGGCAAACAAGATTTCACTGAACATGTCAAGGACTTAATCAAAGGCTTAGTCCTCAAAGTGGGTGACAGGTCAGGTAGAGGCACTTTTTGTTTCTCTGTGTTTGCTTTTGAACTGGTTTGCACGCTCCTTGGTCTGTTTCAGTATCCTAAAATCTTGAGACACCTTCTTTGTTTCCTTCTCAAATTTCCTTCATCACAGAGAAAGGAAAAAAAATGATTTGTGTGACTCGGACCCGTATCAATAATGCTGTAAGACTAGGTGGGTTAGAACAGTGGTGAGATTCAAGTAATTTAACAATCGGTTCTCTGCCCTAATGATTTCTTCCAACAACCACTTTGCCAAACTGCTCAGAAAGTTAACAACCGGTTCTCATGAAATAGTGTGAACTGGCTGAATCCCACCACTGGGTTAGAATATGAAATCTCAAATGAGTCTTCAATAATCAATCTTTTGAGAAAAATTCCTTTCCAGGTAGCTTTTACACTGAGAACTAATTGAGTCACTATGGAAAAGCATGAATGGAAATTTTGGCACAAGGTAGGGTCTTTGGGGAAAAAGCAGTTTGGAAATGAATGCACCACTTGGGTGGGACAGTGATCCTACTAAGTTAGGAAGACACATTTTCTTGTAAAGGGAGTATTGCTCCAAGGAAAACCTGAATAGACTTATGAATGCAGAACTGGAAGGTTTCAGATTAACAAAGTTGGAAGGGACCTTGTAGGTCATCTAGTCCAACCCCCTGCCCAAGCAGGAGAGCCTATACCATTTCTGATAGATGGCAGTCCAGTCTCTTCTTGAAAGCTTCCAGTGATGAAGCTCCCACAACTTCTGAAGGAAAGCTGTTCCATTGGTTGATTGTTCTCACTGTCAGAAAATTTCTCCTTATTTCTGGGTTGAATTTCTCCTTGTTCAGTTTCCATCCATTATTCCTTGTCTGGCCTTCAGGTGCTTTGAAAATAGCTTGAAAATAGTTTAAGAGTCTTACACCTGTCCAGATCGTGTAGGTTAAAAATAAGACTTCTCCCAAAAATGCATTACTGGTCTAAACAGCACCCAGCCCAAATTCAGACCATTGATTTTTACTTCTAATTCGGTTGGCAGGAGCAATACAGAAGACAAAAGACAAAATTTAAGTTTTTGTGGCTGGTCACACTCAAGAAGCTGAGATCTGAGAAAGTGAATGAATAAAATCGTATTAGATTTGCCGTGCCAGAATTGTTCTGCTGGCAGAGAGTTTAAACGAGGTATTAAACTGATTGGCTGCTCATTCATGTAGGTTCTTCTGCCATAAGTTATCTATGCATTATTTTCTCCATGCAAATACAGTATGTACAAATAGCTGTGCCAAACTCACATCCATTGCATTATGTGCTCAAAAACAAAAATACAGGTAGGAGAAGAGTTCCCATCTCTCCTAAAGGATCAGGGAGTGCAATAAAATATTTCCTGGGTAAAGTTCAGCATCTTGGGGTTCTTCAGCACAAAACACACAAGGAGGTAGCCAAGATTGATTGAGGTGAGAACTCTACCATATTAAGAATGCTGGGGAATGAACCTTTATCTATTATTTAAAAAAAAAAAAGGATGAAAAAGAAAAATCAGCAGAGAACTGGGGTATTTTAGTTAAAATTGAAAGTGGAAACTTGCAGTTTCCTAGATGTTCCTAAATTGTACCTCTTTGTTACTCAAACCTGCATAGTTAAAAGTAGCAACTGACTCTTGGTAAGTTCTGGAAAAACTACATATGTTACCTCTTGTTATTATTCTTATTATCCAAATAGCTTATGGCAGGGGTGGTTCTACTTACCTCTGCTACAAGTTTGCAATGGGAGCGTGCTTGCGCACTTCTCCGCATGCGCAGATCGTTCATGATAACGTCCGGGTGGGTGGGCGGAGCCTCCCACCGCCATTACTACCGGTTCGGAAGAACCGGACCGAACTGGGAACAATCCACCACTGGCTTACGGTATAAGATTGCTTTTTTAAATTGCAGTATTTTTGCAGCCCAATTAGATTTTCATCAAGAGTTGAAATGAGAGTGCTACTGTTTCTGGCTGCACAATACACGTAGTCTTTGACTTACGACCGCAACTGAGCCCAGCATTTATGTCACTAAACAAGAAATTTGTTAAGTAAGTTTTGCTCCATTTTACGACTTTTCTTGCCACCTTGGTTAAGTGAATCACTGCCGTTGTTAAATTAGTAATAGGGTTATTATGTGACTCGGGCTTCCCCTTTGACTTTGCTTGTCAAAAGGTCACAAAAAGACCTGACCCTGGAACACTGCAACCGTCATAAATATGAATCGGTTGACAAGCATCGGAATGCAAATCATGTGATTACAAATCATGCTGCAACGGTCATAAGTGTGCAAAATGGTTACGGGGCACTTCTTTCAGTGGCGTTGTTAACGTCCAACGGTCACTAAAAGTACTGTTGTAAATCGAGAACAACCTGTCTGTAGAGATTCTCCGTCATCCAGGTCATGTTTGTCCCAAAGGTGCTTTTTCTGGAGGCAACTGGACTACCTTGTTTTTTTTTCTTTTTGAAGACGTTTCCCTTCTCACCCAAGAAGCTTCTTCAGCTCTTCCATTCCCCATTAGCCTGCCAGAACTGAAGAAGCTTCTTGGATGAAAAGGGAAACCTCTTCAAAAAGAAGAAAAAAAAAAACAAGAAAGTCCAGAAAAAGCACCTTTGGGACCTCTTATTCCACGTATTGACTACCTTCACTGGATCCTGGTTTATTAGCAGAGAGCGGGTCAAACCTGCAAAACACAAAGCCAGCCACGCAGATTTTTGGCTTTTAACCTCTCAGCCAGCAGGGAAACCCAGGGAGGCTGCCTAACAACCCAGCTGACCTCCCCGCTTGTCCGCGCCATTCCACGTTTTTGCAGCCGCCGGTCTCCGACGCCCGCCAGTAGCCTAAAAAGCCACAGAACCAGAACGCGGAGCTTATCCCGAAGCGCGCCACCCGGCGAAGTTGCTCGCAAGCGACAGCGCTCGCTTTCTCACGGCGGACGGCGCGGATTCCCTAACACGTGCACCAGCCCTAAGTTAAGGTAGCCGCCTGTTCTCAACGGGGTGTGTGTATGTGCGTGTGTATGTGGGTAGAAGAAGCCGAGCCCGGCTTTAAAGAGACTTTTTCCCTTTGCAAAAAAAAAAAAAAAAAAAAAGCGCTTGGCTCTCGGCATTCACTAGTGGGAGCTGCAGAGGGTACGGAAACCGAATCCAGCAGCGCTCCCTCTTTCTCTCTTTCTGTCTCTTTCTCTCTTTCTGTCCCTCTGCACCGGAGTCCGGGAGCAGCTGCGAGAGCCGAGCGGGTGAGAAAGAAGAGAAGCCAGAAGCGGTGCCGAGACCAGCTCAAGGATCGGGAGAAAGGGAGGAGGGGGGGGGACCCAAAACAAAACGCCATCGCTTTTGCCACGATCTCCCTTCTGCTGGCCACCGGGGTGTGTGGAAAAAAATAAAACTCGGCGGCTCGGAAAACTTTCATCAGCTCCTCAGATTGGCAAGTGAGTTTCGGCGCTCGGGCGTTTTGGTGCGGGCGGCCGGACGAAACTCGCCTCAGCGTCCGTTCCCTTCGCGCGGTTCGCGGCGCCTTCGGGAGAGTGGGGGGGGGGGGAATGGCTGCTGCTCCTCCTTCCCTCCCCCTCTCCGTTTTCCCGACTCTCCCCCCATTACCTCAGAGGGGGCTTTGGCATGGGGGCAGCTGGGGGAAGGAAGGGGGAGGGGGCGAGGCCGGGTTCTCTCAGGGGCCGGATTAGATGCACGTTGTGGGGAAGGGAGGAGAATTTTTGAGTCTGGGGTTTGCGAGGGGTTTGTTTGAGGGGAAAGTCAAGCCCTCCGGCTTGGGGGGAGACGGAGCCTCCTGCCTTTCTGCACCGACCCAGAAGCTCCGCAGGGTCGAGAATGGCAAGAGGTTTTTAGGCGGGTGAGTAAAAACGCGAGGGACGGTCGAAAGCCCTTCGTAAGATGAGGGGGGGTGTTTGAGACGGCGCGGAAAGTTTGGTGGACGTTGCTAAGAAGGGAGCGAAACGACTTCAGTTGCAGAATCACGTGGAGACAGATGTGAAATATCTGGAGTGCGGGTTGGAAAAGAGCGGGACTTACTCTTTTATGTTTTGCGAGTGGAGCTCCCTAAATTGGGGTGGGTGGGTGGGTGGGGGAGAAAGGGGGGACTTTTTTTAACCGGTGGAAAGGAATAATCTAGAATGCCTCGGGGAATTCGACTTTGGAAATGGTATTGAAAGGTACCCTTGGAATAGCAGAAAGCATCTATCTATCTATCTATCTATCTATCTATCTATCTATCTATCTCTACCTACCTACCTACCTACCTACCCCTCCCAACTGGGATAAGAATACTGGGATAAAAAGTACATTTTTGGGGCGTTATTTTATTCCAGGGGCCAATCACATGCAGAGGGAAAAAGACTAAAACTGGACAAGTGACAGTAACTCTCCATTCTGCAGTTTAAATGGGAGCTTTCTTGTCTTCATATTTTTAAGAGAAAGTTGCTTTTCTTGTTCCCCTGCAGTTGACTAACAATATTAACCTCCTTCACGTTGCATGGGTGTGTGTTACATGAATTTGAGAGAGATGGTGCTCTCTGTGCGGTTTTTTTTTAAATGTCTTTTAATTGTTTTGGAATTGTAATTTGTAAGGCGCAAGAGCCCATGGGAGTGGGCAACTATGATGCTTTTAAATAAATAAGGCTTAAGCAGTTTCAGGAAAAGCAAAGCTACATCCTGCAGGTTGGACCTGTGATAGTAAATAGGTTGTGGTGTGTATGGTAGGTGTAGTTTTGTGTAAGGAGAAGAAAGAGAAAAGAAAATACGCTGGATAAATCAGTACTGTAAACTCCAACTGTAGTTGCAATTTGACAGCAGTTAAATCAGGGGTGCCACATTTCAAAGTTACAGTTAGAGTACTGGGACTGCAGCTGCTCTCTTGCAGGTATGTGGGAATGGCATGAGACCCACAAGTTTTGCAAAGTGAAGAGAGGAAATTGGTCACAGCTTATTAGGAAAGATAAAATAGACAATTGGGAATGCTTTACTGATCATTCTTCATCCAGATTTTATATTAGTTGCATCTGCTGATACAGGTGTTCGGCTTCACCCTTCTCTGTTATTTTCAGCATCTGATAAAACGAATAAGTACTTTTTTCAACAACCTGTAAAATCCAAGGCAGTGTGCTTTCATTGTTTAATTCCTCTCCTTCAAGGAGCAGAGCGAAATTTAAATTGACTGCTCTTTCTGGGGTTAAAAACCAGTTGGGAGAACTAAACTGTTAGTTCTTGAATGAAGATTGTTTTGAGTACAAGGGAGTGAATGACTTCATATTCATAATTTCACAGTGATGAATCTGTGAGACGAAGCCGTGTGAGGAACATCTTAAAATTGTCATAAGTAGCTACAAATAAACTGGTGGGGGATTATTATTTTTTTTATTTATTGAGCTGTGCCTGTTTATTGATATTTAAAAGTGGACCTGTGACTCACTGCTAAAAGTACAGAAATTTCAAGTTTAATCTGCCAAGTGTCCAAACAAAAGGTAACAAAACGGAGAAAATGTGACTTGGACCTGGGGAAGCCTCTGGTCTAAAGGACAGTGGTGGGAAACATGAACATGTCCAATTTATGCTGAATCGGTTTCTGGTGTTTAACTGTCCAAAGTGCTATAAGGGTGTTCTGTGTTTATAAGGGCAAAAGTGTTATTTTTAAATGTTTTAAAAGTCCTACTATTTGTTTAAATTCCACATGTGTTTTCCAGAACACTTTCTAACATATAGAAAAAAAATATAAAGGTAGCAGTTTTTGTGGAAATAGCTGGAAAAGTTATTTTTCATTCCTGACCTAATAAGTTTATACAAAGTTTCTAGCTAGTGTAATACTAGAACAGATATATTAGAATAGCATGCATGGTTTGATGTTGTCTCTGTATAAAGTACAAAACCATCGCTTGATTTCTGAAGAGTTTATATTGCAATAAACGTAGAAATCTTGTTGAAGTTTGATCTGCTCAAGATTGCTATTTTCCTGTTGCTGTTCCTTGTGGAAGGGCATTAATCCAGATATTTGGGGAAGCAAATAAAATTTCTTCCTAATGGTATATAAGTTCGGCTGGTGGGATAGGAGAATGAGAGTATGTATAAATGATTGTGTACGTGTATAGTTATGCATAGTTGCCCAAGGATTATATAGGAGCAACTGTAATCTTCGCTCTTTAAAAAGTTGCTCCTATCTGTTGTTTGGGAACTCATGAGTATTTAAGTGGAAGAGTACTTTCATACTGAGGACCCTGACTATATACATGAATCTCAGGCCCCCAACCAGTGCAATATGCCATATTTTCATTCTGGTGATTCTTTTAGTTGGAGAAAAATAAAGTTATAAAGGGCAGATGTCATAATCTTGATTATCCATTACTTTTTATGTATGAGACAAGGTGATTGCACAATATAAGCCATGCCTGGTAACATCTTCTGCTTTGCAAATTTCTGGTTTCTCATTGATTTACCAGTTCTTTTGACTCACAGGTTCAGAGAAATGGAGATATAATACTGATATAAAATAATATCACTAATCCTTGGTGGTGCAGTGGTTAGAATGCAGTATTGCAGGCTAACTCTGCCCACAGCCTGGAGTTCGATCCTGATGGGGCTCAAGGTTGACTGCCTCCTATCCTTCCAAGGTAGGAAAATAAGGACCCAGATGGTTGGGAGAAATATGCTGATATTGCTGGCCTGCGGTGCTTCTGCCAGCAAAAACGGAGCTTGGGGCTGCAGGTTCCTCTCCGAGCTTAATTTTTGCTGACAGAAGGCTGCAGGAGGCCGTTGTGGCCGAAAACGGAACTCGGGAGCCCGTTTTCATTGGCAAAGTGCTCAGCCACCACAGGTGCCCCCAACATGAGTGACGTCGACTGGCCAAGCCAACCATGGCATGTCCACCTCAGCCCCCCCCCCAAGGTCAAACACAACCCTGATGTGGCCCTCAATGAAATTGAGTTTGACACCCCTGACTTAGATGAATGCTTCTGTTACATTGTAAGGATATGTGAATACATAACTTGATTCCCCTCTCCCCATGAATAAAATAAGAGTGGGAGAAGGAAACTTAGTACCATTGGGGACAATTTTCAAAATCCACACCTGCCCTTATATAGAAATTACTACTTTAATACACTTAAGGATTCCAAGTGTGGTAAAATACACAAGATCCTATTGGTCAGTATTAGTTAGTTTTATTGGTTTTACATAGAAGAATACTGAAATATTCTAAACTGTTAATACTGACACGCCATAATTTAGAGTCATTTTATAATAGACTACTTGTTCTAAAAAAAAGAGTGGCATTTATTGTATATATAGAGATTCTCAATCATCCAAGTCATGGTTGTCCCAAAAGACAACTGGACTTTCCTGGTTTTTTTTCCCTGGAAAACATTTTGCTTCTCATCTAAGAAGCTTCTTCAGAACTGAAGATGAGAAGTGAAACATTTTCAAGGGGAAAAAAAGCCAAGATCCCGGTTGCCTTTGGGAAAAGCACCTTGTTGTGGCATTTATTACTTCATAGAAAATTTCACAAAAGCATACGAAATATGCTCATCTTTATGAGTTCTGAAACCCATAGTTTTTGTAAAGGCAGTTGAATGCCAATTTCTAATAGATTTTATAGAATGATTTCAACCATGATTTTATAGAATGATTCAATCTATAAAACGATTTCAATCATGAAATCATTTTATAGAATGATTTCAATCAATATAGAATGATGGCTCAGAGGTTAAACATACTGAGCTTGTCAGCTGGAAAGCTGACAGCTTGGGTTCGAGACCCTAGCTCTGCATGTTGGGGTAAGCTGCCGTCCTTGCCCCAGCTTCTGTCCACCTAGTAGTTCAAAAGTATACAAATATGAATAGATAAATAGGTACCACTTCAGTGGGAAGGTAACAGTGGTTTTTGCACTTTGGCGTATAATCATGCTAGCCAAATGATCATTAAAAGAGTCTTTGGACAGTGATGGCTCCCTTGGCTAAGAAATGTAGATGAGCACTGGCCCTTAGAGTCACACACAACTGGACAGGAGAAACCTTCATCTTTATGGTTTAGATCTACTGTACTTCCTTCCATATGGACCTTCTAATTCTGAACAGTGGCTAGAAGGACCCTCATCTGTCACTTACTTGTGATAGAATCTATTGGGATGACAGGACATTGGATTGTCTCACTCATTGCATTTAGTCTTTTATTGTGAGATGAGATTTCTGCTTACCTTACATTTGTTAATCTTTTGTTCTCTGAGTGTTTCAGATTCCATCAACCTTCTACCAGTTGATCAATGGCAAAAGGTTGAGGCAACCAATCAAAAGTTAAAATGGGAACATTCATGAGGCTTGTAGTAGGCAGGGATTTCACAAAAATATTAAATTTTACTATTGCATAAGAAACAGCCAGAATGAGATAGCATTTCTTTGAAGAAATAAATGGTATGTTCTTGCAGTTGACT